AGCATCGCCGCCGCGGAGCGCCGTGAGTACCGGGGTGGGTGAGGACCCTCGTGGGGCCCGGGGTTCCCGGGGGAGGTGGTCTCCGGGGAGCGGGGCCGCCGCCTCCGTCCTGGGGGGGAACTGCTGGTACCCCGTGGGGTGGGAGGAGGAGGGGGCTTTGCCCCGGGGCGGCCTGGCTTTCCGCCCCCGACCAGGCCTGCCCGCTGCCCCCGGCGGTGGAGGGCCCCTCCCGGGGTCTGCGCGCTTCTTCCGGCCTCGGCGGCCAGGGCAGGGCCGCGGCCGTTCACCCCGCTCAGGGCCGACCAGCCCCTCCGGCGCACCCTGCGGATACGAGACGTCCTACGGTGTTGTAGTGCTGGAGGGTCACCGCAGCTGGTGTGAAGGATGGGGCGGTCTCTCTTTGTTGGCTGCAGGAAGGTGGAAGTAAAATGCTTCACGTGGCAGAAGGTGGTTGCAGTAGACCTCCCGCAGTGATCTCCTGGGAGGCAGATCCTCACGTTACCGCGGGCTAACGTCACCTTGCTGGGCGGCAGTTCTCACTCTTGTTTGCTCGTTAAAGTGTGCCGCTCTTTGTTTTCTACCTCTTTTCTCGGAGGGGAGTGTGAGAACTAGGTCGGGTTAAGACATACCAGCATGTGAGTGTAGGTGGGGAAAGGAGATTTTTTTTCATTGATACTCTGCAAATTAGATGAGAGTTTTCTGATTTGGGACTGAAGTCTCATTGGCAGTTTCTAACGCTGTCTGAGCAGAGCAGTGTTCTGGGTATGTGTTTGGACTCTCCTCCCAGTTTTACAGAGCTGTTTAACTTGTGCCGTATTTTTGTGTTGTAAATAGCTCAGGCAAAAGAGAGATTTCTCTTTGTTGTGTTTGTCTTGTCAAAGGTTGACCAGACTTTTAATCCAGACTTGCCCTGCTTTGCTTTTAGCAGTTAGTGTTAAAATGGGTTTGGTCCAAGGTGTAAGTCGTCTCTTTTTCACTCAGCTGTGACAGATATCTCAGCGGCTGTGGAGAGCCGCAGGAGAGCCGGTCCATCCGGGAGCTTTGCCTTAAGCAGCTGTGCTGCCCCAAGCCCTTGCCTTGAGATTCAGTGGTCCTTTAGTGCCTGTGTGCGCAATGGGAATGCTTTATTTAGTCCGTATTAATGTTTTTTTAGGCTTAGGCCACCAAGCTCTGCCCTAGCAGCGTGCAGAACACTTGTGCAGCCTTTCCGTTCTATATATAGGAACAGCCTCTCCTTTTGAGGATTGACAGTCCTTACACCTTGGTGTCTCTGGTAATGAACTATGTGGCGGGAGTTTATAGCTTGGATCCATTTGGAGCCACCCTCAGATCTGGGATTTACAGTGGAAAGGCTCGCTTTCCTCTTGCCAGACATCTGGGCTGTTTGTTCCAGCTCAGATCTGCTTTGTAAAGCACAGCTGACTGCAGGAAGAGATATCTGCTAAATTGACAACCTGTTCGGGAGGACAAGACTTATGCCGCAGATAAATCTATTTGGCAACTGCTTTTTTCACTGTATCCCCTTGCTTCTGGTATTGCCTCACACTTCTGGAAGAGGCTTACCCATACAATATTTGTAGTTATATCCCTGAGATGACAGAATAGTGATGATCATTGCTAGACCCTTCCGAGCTTTGTTCGAAAGGAGATGCAAACAAACCCAAGAAATTACAGGAGAATAATGGGAATAAGGGCATGCGCTTGCCTAGGCCCATTGTGAATGGCCTGGTGGTTCCAAATCAACTACTGCTGTTATTTCTTCTAAGCAGTTGGTTGTCCAAGATCTTGCTACAGGCCTAATCATCCCCCGTTCTGATATCAGTGTAGCGAGGTGATATTCGTGCAGTTCACAGGGGGGAGGAAGCACATGGGAGCTTAATGGGGAAGAATTTATCCGCTTCGTGAACTGAAATGAGTAGTTGGGATCTGGTGGGGTGGCAAAGGCACCAACAGTAAACCTGTGTGGCTCTATGAGGTTCTTAGTGTCATACTGTTTCGGGAGTCTGAAGGGAATGTTTGCTGGGCTGCTGGAAGGCAATGCTGAACCTCTGCTATTCCGTTCTTCCAGAAACATGCAACATGGCAGCAGCCATGGAAACTGAACAGCCGGGCCTTGAAATCTTTGAAACTGCGGGCCGTGAGGAGCAGGTCCAGAGAGAGGAGCAGCCAAAACTGGAACCTTTCTATGTAGAGAGACATTCCTGGAGCCAGCTTCGGAAACTGCTCACAGATACGCGGAAGTATCATGGGTACATGATGGCAAAAGCCCCTCACGACTTCACGTTTGTGAAGAAAAATGATCCTGAAGGACCTCATTCCGATAGGATCTACTATCTGGGTAAGCTTGCTGCCCCAGCCTGTGTCTTGACTAAACAGTCACTACAGAGGCTGTTCGGGTTTGATTGTTCTTGAGAGCTGGATGTTTCTGGCAGTTAAATCGGAATGGGTTTCAGGACAGATTGGCTGGTCAAATGTCATGGTCGTAATTGTTATGTCTCAGTAAGACTTGCAATGTAATCTCCCACAGAAATGGTGTGATTGGAGGTGACCCATTAGGCCTGGTGGAGCTGGAAAAGAACTGTGAAGCGTCCCCTGGGACACGTTCCCTAGCTGGGAGGGTGGGTTAAGTCTGTTCGGTCCACTTTCTCTCACTCCAAGTGCGATATCCCCTCTCCAAAAGCTGTGTTGGTTTGATCTCCTTTCTCTTAATTACAACTAGTGGGTAGAACCTTTTTCTCCTTCAAAGTTTCCTTCCAAAACAGAGATTATAAATGGAATTTTGAAAGTCCTTTGTGCCTCAGCTACTGATGGAGTAGGTTTTCCAGGGATTCTGGAGGGAATAAATAGGAGTGTAGGGTGGGGGCAGCTTAAAGAGTAAATATTTTTCTCAAGAATTTTGGTCTTGATAATGAAGAACTTATTGTAATTTATTGTTCTTGGCCTCAGTGCCTCACTTCTGCATTGTTTCACTAATTAGTGTTCACTTGATATATCTGCATTTCTAAATTGCAGCTGTGCTTGAAGTGATTTGGCACTGTAAATGATACTGTGAGCAACCTTCTGGCTGGCTTTTTGGAGCAGGCCTTGTGGCAGAGGAATGCTTTTGTCAAAAGCTGCACTAGCTGAACATAAGTCCATGAAAAACTGGGTTAAGAGGAGAAGCAAAGGCCTAGGAGCCAGAGCCATGTTCTGGCCCCATTGCGTACTGGTCAGGCTAGTTGCTTAAGCTCTGATTTGTGATTCACGGAGCCTTTGCATGTGCTGTGCAGTGACATAGTCAGAAAGCTGCTGATCTGTCTCTTATTCCCCTTTTCAGAGGATGGGGGTCATACTCCTTGAATGAGGCTGAGTTCAAGCATGTTGAGGGCGGGTTAAGGCTGACCCCAGCTGAGATGAGCTCTGCTTTCTTACGTGCCCCTTCCTGAGCTATAGGTCAGACTTGGCCTTCCCCGGGGCACATCTGGCTGCCTCTGGGCTGGTCCCCGTGTGCCTTGGCAGGAGCTTTCACAAATTTGAATAGCACTGAGGGAGAGGAGCAGGAGAGGGACATTCAAACCTTCCTAAAGATGCCTTATCTTTGAAACACAAGCTGCATCGTGCTGTATTCCAGCCAGGGGAATTAGCAGAAAGGCCCTCCTTGATTTTAAAAGCTTATAAAATACAAGGGCCCCCAGCCTTCAGGAGGACACAGATGTGCTTCAGGCAGTGGGGGGTAAGCCTGGGTGTATTTCCTTGTTCTCTGCCTTCTCCATGACTTGCATTTCTGTGAAGCAGGGAATTCCCAGAGCAAGGCTGCAGTGCAGAGTCTGTCAGTACTTTCTCTGGTAGGAAAGGCCTGTGAAACTGTTCCTCTGTATCCTTTGAGAGTGTTCGGATTATTAACAGAAAGCTAATACACATTTTTTTTTTTTTTTCTCACTTTCACAATAGCAATGTCTGGGGAGAACAGGGAGAACACACTCTTCTACTCTGAAATTCCCAAAACCATAAACAAAGCTGCCGTCCTGTTGCTTTCCTGGAAGCCTCTTTTGGATCTTTTTCCGGTGGGTCCTGGTTTCTTTCTTGCTTCTTGGCAGCGTAGCAAGTAACAGGCTTTGGGGTTGCACCTATAAGCCATCAATAAAATTTGGAGTTCATTGTCTTAAACATTTTAAGATTCTCTTCGTACTTGGCTAACTCTGCAGCCATCTCAAAAACAAGCACAGCTTTCTCATCAGTGTTTGGAGTTACAGCCTTTGTGCGTCATAAAAACTGTGTGTGCTGGATGATTCCTCCTTTGCCAGCAGAGATTGCAAGTGCTAATTTGCATCAAATTCTCTGCTGTGAGGTCCTGGGGATTGCTGTAGTCTCCAATAATCAGTCTTGCAGGGGGAAGTGATGAGTCCCCCTGAGGATCAGTCAGTCAGTGGCTCTGTGACTCATGCTGGAGCAGAGGATCCCTTTCCCACTCACTGGGACGTGTGTCCCTTTTTCACCTCTGCGCATAGCAAGCCCACACCAGTCCCACCCCATGCGCCGTGGCAGGTTGGAGGAGGTGGGACAAACCCCGTGTGGAATTAGGTGGTTTTTTTCCCCTGTTATTTCCTGAGGCTGTCAGCCAGACATAAAATTCATGCTGTGCTCTTCTCCCACCAGACCAGTCACTGTGTATCTTTGCAAAAGTTAGCAAAGACTCTCCTGCTTGTTCTAGAAATAACAGACCTTCAGTCTGGTCTTTCTTTGACAAGTGTATATTGGAAATCATGCCGGCCTTGCTATGGGAGAAGTGGCTATCAGGTTTACAGTTGTGTAGGATCCCGATCATGGCCCGCACCTACAAGTGCTGATGGGAGAGGCACAAGCAGGAGCAGGCTTCTAGCCATCAGCAGGATTCTGGAGGAGGAGGGTGTCTGCACAGCCATCTGGAAGCTTGGCATGCAGAGCTGCTCTGACAGTATAGTAAGATGTGCAGAGCAGAGGTGTTGATTGTGCTTCTCTGCCTGTGTTCAGGCCATCCTGGACTATGGGATGTACTCTCGTGAAGAGGAGTTGCTACGGGAGAGGAAGCGAATTGGCACCGTTGGGATTGCCTCTTATGATTACCACCGAGAAAGCGGCACCTTTCTGTTTCAGGCTGGGAGTGGAATTTATCACGTAAAAGATGGAGGCCCTCATGGATTCACTGTGAGTTTACTCATCTCTCCTGTTTTCTGCAGTCCTGCTTTCCTCTGGCTAGAAGCTGCTTTGGCTTGGAGCAAAAGCCGAGCGTGATCATCAGTTATGCTGCACTAGCATGGCAAGTAGCCTTGACAACCCTTGAAATGCAGAGAAGTCCTCCGTAGGGTTGCATTTCCGTGGTTGTAGAAACTCAGGTGGAGAACTACAAGAAATGGTAGAAACCGTGGCAGCAAGGCAGGACACCAGATTTTGTTGATTTTTCATAAGCAGTGATGCCAATAAAAAGCAACACAAAGGCTGTGATGCTCCGTGCTCTTTCACGTAGTCAGAAGTCGCATCGGAGGCAGCTTTTGTTCCTAAGCTGTGGTTTAGAGGTCACTGTTCAGCAGTCGGTGCTGTGTGTGTTACAAGGTTTGGCTGTGTAATTTGCAGAACAAGCAGCCTTTACTCTGCTGGTGCTGAAGCTGAACTTCAAAGCTGAAATAATTTCTTCTTGTTATAACAAATGCCTGACGTCTGTCTAACCCTGTTGTCAGGGGAATTTACTGTACCCTAGTTGCTTTTGGAGGACAAGGTTGTATGTTCTGCCAGCCCCTTTTTCGGGTGCAGTTTTTAAGAGTGTGCCAGGCTTCTCTAGGCAAGCTGCCTTCTGGTTTGTGGCTAATCCTCAGCACTGGTGCAAGAGGGACTGGTGCAATCTGTGCAACCATGGTAGAAGCACAACTTTCCCTATAAAATATCTGCATAGTATTTTTCTATGTTTAAAATTGATAGATTCCTCTGTTGTAAACCTGTGTATTTGAAGTCAGTGTCCACACTACTGTGATCTTAGAGACCTTCTGATAATCCAGTTTAGTTTCTGTAAGTGTCCATGTGTTATCATTGCTTACTGTGCTTTTTTTTTTTTCCTTCAAACAGCAACAGCCTTTAAGACCCGTTCTGGTAGAGACCAGTTGTCCAAATATCCGGATGGATCCCAAGCTTTGTCCAGCTGATCCAAATTGGATTGCATTTATCCACAGCAATGACATCTGGATATCTAATATAGAAACCAGAGAAGAAAGGAGGCTAACATTTGTGCACAATGGTAATGCATCCTGAATTAAAATCTCTGCACCTCCTCTGCACTTGTCCTTGCTAGACTGAATTAAGCAATGGCACTAGGGGTTCTTCTGAAATCTGGGGGAATGGACACTGTTTACTCCACCTTGTTTGTCACATTCTACGCGTTTCTTCTCGTGCAAATATTGTGGGATGATTCTTTTCCCTGCACGGTGGAATCTGGCAAAGTGAGTTATTTGTTGAGTACATATGGAAGGGCTCTTCTCCTGAAACACGGCACATTCCTTTTTACTGGAACAGCCTTTTTTGTGTGGAGGAGCTGTGGGTGGAATAGAGCTGGAGGAAAGTTTCTGCCAGTGAAATCAGGCTGCAGGCCTTTTAGAAACAAGGTAGACAGTTTCTGAATAGCACTGTGGCTTCTGCTGGCCCCTCATGCTCAGTAACTTAAGTCCTTGCTTCTTACCCTCTCCAGCTCTTGTTTTAGACATGTATCCTGCAGGAAGGAAAATGGGAAATTGTGGATAAACCACTTCTTAAAAATGGATTGCGTTTTGTATTTAAATCATACTTTGTATTTAAACTATATCATTTAAATTTTAGTTAAAATTCCTGACACTTTATAATAATGCTTTAGCTTATTTAAGTGTTAAATATTAAAATATTATGTAAGTACCTTAAAAATAAACTGTAGCAATGACTCCTTCTCAGATGATAATTATTTATGGAGCGCTGCTAAGTTACCTCCAGGGTAACAGGAAAAATATTGAAGCCCTATGGATATGTCATCATGTTGAGATGTTATGTAAGTCTGTTACTTTTGGTTTTTACAGTGAATGAAATACCGATGCTTTCATTTTTCTGAATGTTAATATTTTCAGTTGTTCAGAAAGGTTGGTTTGTTTGTTTTTTCTTTGATTTTCTTAAAAGTTGTGGTTCCAATTCACTGAGCTCAGGTAGAGAGAACATTTTCTTTCTTCAACTAGTATATAGAAAATTGAGAAACTAATTGGGTAGGAGTAAGAAGGGAGGATGGCTTTCTTTTCCTAAACGAAGCTACCATGTCAGAGAGGATTAGATCCTCCCTAAATAAATCAACAGAGCAGGGTGGAAGCAGAAAACAAATCTGCTGAGAAGTCAGATTTATTATCGTTTAATTATTCCCGGGGGGTGAATTTGGGCCATGTTTGGGATAATGCAGAACTGGTTTGCTTCTGCAGTACATCATGAACTAATTCTTTTGCGTCTTTTTTTAGAACTGGCCAATGTTGAGGAGGATCCAAAATCTGCTGGCGTGGCTACTTTTGTGCTGCAGGAGGAGTTTGACAGATACACGGGCTACTGGTGGAGCCCAAAGGCACAGCCAAGTAAGTGTGGTGGATCCAGTGTGTCTGACAGGCACAAGTAGTGGCCCCTATGCTGTGCTGTCCAGTGCAGAGTTGTTTTTTTCTGTCACTTGTCTTCTTCATGCAAGATAGGAACCTTATGCTCATAGCTCCTTTTGAACTATCTGCAGCGGTGGGCATGTTGCAGTGGCCTTGTGAGCATGTGTTACTGGGGGAAGAGACTTTCCTTCTCACAACAGCGGTAGGAGTTATAAGAGTCTCGGAGTGTTTTGCTTAATGAAACATAAATCACAGACTTTGTTGGATTTTTTTCATCCTTCCAACCTGCTTGTGCCCCTGAGAGAATATTGGTGCCTGCAATAACTGATAATGAGAGCTGTTCTGATGGCGAAATGTTAATTCATTTACAGCACTGAATGGGGGTAAAGTTCTTCGAATTCTTTATGAAGAAAATGATGAGTCAGAGGTGGAAATTATTCATGTCACATCGCCCATGCTGGAAACAAGAAGAACAGATTCCTTCCGATACCCCAAAACTGGTGAGCCTGATACTTTACATCTCTCTTTCTGGGAGACACATATTTTATTTCGTGTGCCTGACAGCAGTGACTCCCCTGGCCTAGAGCAGGGGGATGTTGGAGAGGTGTCGAGTAGTCTTTGAGTTGGTGTCCGGGTGGTGGAAATGTGTTTGGGGAAACTGCTGCTGTGGAGGTTAGATTAGTCGCTGGTGACTCTGCTGATATTCCAGCCATGTGGTTACTAAGAGCTCTGAGTCTGGGTGTCTCAGGAGTTGGCGGAAACCCTATCTGATTGTCACTATTTTGGAGCTGCTGTCTCAGATCCTGGCAGATCTGAGTTGTTAGGAGTTGGTTCTCATTATAGCCCTGTGTCTCTGAGGGAATAGCTGCAGAATTATGGCCTTTTGATTTTTTGGGAGGGTTTCTGCTTAGTTCCTGGCAGTGCCCTGGTAGTTCAAGTTCTGAAGGATTCTGGTCTCCGTGACTGCTCTTGGACTTGGAACAACAAACTCGGCACACTTGCAGCCTACCAGGAAAAACCCCTGTTGTCATATTTTCAAACAGTAAATGATCCGGAGGCTTCAGCAGTAAAGGGGTGAGGGTAGGCTAGAAGCATATTTAACGGAGTGCCATTGGAAGCAGGGAAGCCGGACTTGCACGACCTGCTGGGGGCTGATTCACTGGCACGTGTCAGGTGTGTGGGGCAAATTTGAACAGTCTGACCCTTGTTCTTCTGAGATTTCCCTGCTGTTGCAGCAGGGCCTGTTGCTCACAGGTAGCAGTGGTTCACTCTCTTTCCTCACTCCTGAAATCTTCATTTTTTGGAGAAATACCTTCTGTTTGGCTGACCTCCCCAGGCTGCAGATTTCATTCAGATCTTGCAGGTTCCCTAATCCACTGGGAAAAGTTTTCTGCTTGTGATCCTGATTTACTACTTGTTTCAAGGAGGAAGAAAGCCTCAGTGTTATCCTGGGAAGCAAGGGATGACTCCTTGTGTTTTTTTCGGTGCTTGTGTACACCCAGATTTCTGAGGGTATTTTGTCATAGCTTTGTTCAATGCTGAGTTTCAGCAGTTTAGGAAAACGAGCTAACCAAAGCCCAAATCCCTTTTAAAGAAAAAAAAAAAAAAAAGAAAAAAATAGTCAAGTTTTCATGACCTGGTACAATGTAGACATACAAATCTGTATGTGATCAGACATGTATTTGGAGACTATTCATGAGTCACTTTTTAGCCTCTGAAATTTAAATAGGTTAATTTCTTCAGTCAGGTAAACATAAAGCAGTTTGCTAAAGCCTTTGCTTAGTTCTGTAACTGTTTTCTGAATGTTACCGATTTTCTGCTCTCTGCTCGCCAATGGTATGGACAAGATTTGCCTGAGCAGACTGAAAGTGTCTATAGCACAGAGGGAGGGATAAGGAGGAGGGTCCTAGGGCCCCAGGTGATGTTCTCCTTCCAGTTAGGGAAAACCATAAGTAAGACCAAACGTTAACTCTTCTCCCAATTCCAGACAATCTTTCAAGCCCATCACAAAAAAAAAAAAAAAAAAAAAGGATTTAATCTCTGGGCCTTAGTTTCCAGACTGAGCTGCAAGGGCAATAGCCCTTTTCTGTGGGTTGTTACGAGGGCAAAGCTTGAGGTAGTGGAGAAAATTCTTCCCAGGGAGAAGTACTTAAATAGGCCAGCACTGTGGCCCTAGGCAAGTCGTTTCACCTCAGTGCATCAGTTTTTGTGTATAAACCGGGTTGATGAAGCGGGAGTACTTCACAGCAGCATTGAGAATATTCAGAGAACATGGAATTTGCCACATGTGGCTTCTTGTGGATCAACTGGCAGCGGCTTTATTCCTTATAGTCTCTCTTCTTGCTGTGGAGCAGGCCCCAGCATTTAGCACCCCAGGTGCTGTACAGCAAGATGAGTTGCTGCTTTGTGGAAAGAGCTAACTTTCAGTTTTCAGTGTTCAACACAAATATGTAGCTTTATTTTCTTAACTGCACTAGTCAAGGCAATAGGTTCTTAAGTGTTTAATTTTCACAGCTGCTTTTTAGCACTGGATCACTTTCTATGTACCACCTTGAGAATAACAGCCAAACAGTAAACCAAAGCTTGCTTTGCTATCCTGATCACTCCTGAGCATTTACTTCCAACTGGTATGTGCATCCTTTGACTGTGGGAGAGAAGATTGACTGACAGTAGCACAGCTCTTGGATCAGATCTGTTTGCAGGATTACATCTACTGAATCTGCCTCATGTTTGAAGTTTCTTTTTTCCCTGCCTGGTCCTGTGCTGTCTCTCATGCATGCAAGCAGGCTATTTGATCAAAGAGCATTCTGCTGTTTGCCTTTTTCAGTTCTGTATGAATAACGCCAAAATAATCCACAGTTCAAGTCTACCCACTTGGAAGCAAACAATTGGTGCCTGACTGCTAACATCTGTTTTTATAGGTACAGCAAATCCAAAGGTCACTTTCAAGATATCTGAAGTGACAATCAATGCGGAAGGCAGAGTAAGTTCTATGTTCTGCTTGTTTTCCGAGTAAATATAATTTCTGTGAATCTTTTTTGGTAAAATTAATTTTCCAGTTCAGTACAAAGAAACTTTCTTGGTTGTGGTAGCTTAATGCCTTCTCTGGAGGCAGTGCACTTGGCTCATTCCTATGCAGATACTTGGTGTCTGTGTGTGCAGCAGTATTTCTCAAGGCTGTGCTTTCCTTCCCTACCACTGGTTTATGAACTCAGCTAGGTGTGGACGGTTAGACCTTCTTATGTGACCAATCTCTTGATTGGCTGCAGATAGCGGGAAAATTTGATTGCAAAGAGAATATATCACCTTACAAAAACATGAACGTATGGAGAGAGATGAACTTTGCTTTCGCCCTGGGATTTTTTAACAGATGCAGAAATTTCCATAGCCCAGTCCAAGATCTTTGGACCATTGGGAAATTAGTCTTACCAGATACAGTAACAGCCATACATTATTGGGATTCTCTCTACTCTGGAGCTACTTCAGCCATCAACAGTCACCTGCTGGGACAGCGATGCTGATGTCAGCCAGCAAAGGCAGGGAAGGCCATCAGGACCCTTTGGGCACCACTGTGACTTGTTCCCAGTCCCAGCAGGGACGGACTGCAGAACTGTATGTCATGATTTAGAACCACGTTGATAACTGGATGTGATGCAGGATGTTCAACATCTACCGATGAAAACACCTTACAAAGTAGCTTGGTACAAATCACCTCCCCTTTACATGGGGAAACTGAGTGTTCAAGTGCCTTGTCCGAGATGAGTGATGGATTTGTGAGCAGCATCCAGATTTCTCAAGTCCCAGCCCTGGCTGTGCTGGTAGTGTGCAGCTCTCCTGCTATGCTGGTGTCTGGCTACAGACGGGGTTGAATCCCCTGTGTTGCAAAGGCTGAACAATCTAAATTGCATGAGCGGCACGGAAGTCTTCTGTGTCCAGACTCTCATCGTGCATGAAAACTGGTTGTGGGGGTTCATCTCAGTGTCACTGAATTGCTGCTTTGTCAACAGATTGCAGATGTTGTGGATAAAGAGCTAGTTCAGCCGTTCGAGATCCTCTTTGAAGGAGTAGAGTACATTGCTAGAGCTGGGTGGACGCCAGAAGGAAAATAGTGCGTATGTTAATCCTGTCTCTGCTTAGAGGGTTTGGGGCAATACAGTCAGAAGCAGAATGTAGTGGTCTCTGTCTTCTTCAAGCTTAAGCCTGCTTTCATTTCTATGTTGCTACAAACTTGTTTGTGCAAAGGGGACGATTTTTCCAAAAGCCAAAACAGTCCTCCTTGTCTCTTTCTCTGGTACCTGGCCCTACTGCTTTAGTATTGGGCACTCACAGCCTTTGATGTATGTGTCCTCTCAGCATCCCTGTGAGAGAGAGTGCAGTGCTATTATCCCCATTTTACAGATGGGGAACTGAAGCCCAGAGAGGCTAAGTGACTTGCCATGGTCACACAGGAAGTCTGTGGCTGAGGAGAGAAATGAGCCCAGGTCCCCCAGGCCCTAGGCTAGCGCCCTAACCACTGGACCATCCTTGCTGACCAGACTTACTGATCAGAAAACCTGCTGTAAGTGCTACTTACATTTGCATGTCATTTTTAACCCTGTAGATGATGTAGTACAGTGTTTCTAACTGACCAGAAGCTTCTCCAGAATTGCACTTCTCCAGTTCTTGACTCTAAAGATGACTTTCGCCTTTTTAATTTATCCCCCCCACCAAAATGTGGAAGAAATGCAGAGACACATTTGCTCCATTATCTTGCTTTTTGCGGGACTATTGTTAGAGCTACATGTAAAGTCATCAGAAGTATGGCAGGGTCTGCTGCCAGTCCATTTAGGTGCCAGGATTATTCTCTGCCAGGTATAGATTTAAAACATCAGTATTTTCACAAGTATCCTGACATTTCAATTGAAATTTTTCTGCTTCATTATTCCCTCTGATTTTTCTCTGCTTTCTCCCCTAAAGCACAATTCAAATCTGGGAGAATAGAATTAATTAAACTCTTGAACCGGCAGTGCTTATGCAATATTGAAATGAAGTGAAATAAGTTCTTGTGTTGTGGAAGAGATTTGTTTATGTGGGTGAAATTTTACATGTGGCTTTGTTCTTAATCTGCAATTGAACATTCTTGACTCCCTCAAAATGCCTAGTGCTAATGAGTGTCTGTCGAGATTTTCAGACCTGTTTAATACTCATGGTTGCATGTTATTTTCTCTAATATCTGTCTCCTCAACAGCATCTGGTCCATCTTACTGGATCGCTCCCAAACTCGACTTCAGATAGTCTTGATCCCTCCTGCATTATTCATCCCCACAGAAGATGATGCAATGGAAAGACAGAAGCTTATCAATGCTGTACCAGATTCTGTTACACCTTTCATTATTTATGAAGAAACAACGGACATCTGGATAAATGTAAGAATTTGAATTTCAGCCTTCTCTGACAGTTTGTTGTTCAATACCCTATTTGTAGCACTTGAGCAATGTTGGTGTTGCTGTGCTGCCTAGGAGAATGTTCCCATTGTGCAGGTTCTGTGCATATTCTGTGCTTTCTGCTGTAAAATACAGTATGTAGAGAACAGAAAGATTTGGGATGTGAAAGCAGAGCTGCTTTGCTTGAGACTGCACAGTGGCCAGACGGAGCTAGGAACAGAGCCCAGGGCTCTGACGTTCCAGGGCAGCCCCACGCCTGCAGTGTTACCCACTGACACCCTCTGGCTTCTTGGTGCCAGTTGTTCACCAACAGCAGTGCCAGCAGATGACGTATTCTTCAGCCAACAAAGATGTATCTAGATGATACTGGGGGACCAAGTCCCGCCAGTTTGCTAACAGTCACTAAAAACCCTCCTTAACTACATATGGTCTGGTGAGATAGATTTGTGTGTCATGTTCTCGGAGGTGTGCCCTAGGGCCTGTGCTGTGAGACCGGACACCGGTGTGCTAGGCTAATGCTGTAAAAATGAGTGCTGTTCACACTCCTGCAAATAAAGATCGATGTCTCTAAGATGACATCCCGTTGGAGGTGTGCCAGGGTGCAGGAAGGCCTGGGAACATCAATCACTGACAGGTAGTTGGATCTTTCAGCAGAGAGCATTTGCTCAAAGCCTTCCAGTGAATGATCTCCATACAGCGAGTGCTCTCTATGATACCATGTTTTCTCCTTAGTAATAATGTGCATGGTTTCAGGACAGTGCAATGAGTTGTCCTTTTTCCATTATTTTTACTAGCTGGAGTGGCTTTTGACTGGCAGCCCATACTGTACAGATAAACACTCCGGAGTCCCTCAGTAGATTGTCCTTTGAAGCAGGAGTTGGCATCTTCATGAGTGGGAAGATGATGTCAGCTCATCTTTCTTTAAATAACCCTTCACTTGTGGGCTTCTAAACAGCACTGGACAGAGGAGGCCACTGAACTCTGACTTCTCTGGGTGGTTTTCATATGCTGTCTGCAGAGCCAGACCCACCTCTGTATCTAAGCTAGAAAGGCAGGTGCAGAAAAACTTCCTTAATTAGTTTGGTGGCCAGAAATTTGACTAGCAAAAAGCCTTGAGCTGTGCAGTGTATGTGGCCGCTGTCTGCAGACACCCCCTGGCTCATAAGCATAACTGATTCTCCCAGTAAGGGACAGTGCTGCATCCTGCTAGTGTGAACTGTGTTGTCTGTGTTAACCAGTAAGAGGAACTTATTATGTGTGACTTAAGTGCCAGAGTTCTGCTGATAACAATAATCCACTGCTCTGTCTCCACAGATCCATGATATCTTCTATGTTTTCCCTCAAACCCATGAAGATGAGATAGAGTTCATTTTTGCCTCTGAGTGTAAAACAGGCTTCCGGCACCTATACAAAGTCATCTCGGTTTTGAAGGAGAGCAAGTATAAACGGTCGTGTGGAGGCCTCCCTGCTCCAAGTAAGTGAAATTATTCTTTTGCTTTAATTGGGCATTTGCTGCTGACTAGTGAGGAAATAAATGTCCTTCCAGGTGGCAGGAATTATTGTCTTATTGGAAACTCCTGCTGTTGCCCAGGAAAGCGCTTCACTGTACAGTCATTCCTCTTGAAATTGTACAGGGGTTATTCTGTATTCAGCATGCTTTAGTTTTAACCCTGATTCTTCCTCATGGACTAGAGGGAAAAGTTTCAAAAAATCAAATGGGAAACAAGCTCCCTGTGATACTGTGAAATGCACTTAGTTGGCTTTTCCTTGTCAATATTGGGACTGTTTGTGCGCTGAATTTGCCAGAGGTTAATCATTATAGCAATAACATAGCTACCTCTGATGTGCAGGGTCCAATGTATCGAATAGATCCACATTGGTTCTGGACTTGATTTTGCAAGTAAAACCAACATAGTCCCTGTCAGCCTTTACAAGCAGATTGGTAGCAGAGAGGCTGACAAAGAGCACAGTTTGAATATCCTGTAAAAAAGGTCCATAGAGGGCCTCCCTGTCTGAGCGGGCCCACATGTTAGACCCTTTAAAATGAACATGTGTGCTGGGCAGCAAAACCTATGATATGACAACTATTCAGAGAATTCCTCTCTGCTCTTAAAAACAATCATGATATTGCTGTATAGACAGAGATGTTAGTAGGAGAAAATTACTGACAGCTGTTGCAAATGAAAATGCAGGAAGAGTCATTTCAAGCAAAAAAAAATCAAGGACCATGTGCTTCTGAGCTGCAGTCAAAGTTTGGTCTTGCTCAGATGCATGATATAGCTGTGTGCAAAGCTCCTGGAGCGGTTTTTCCACAGCGTATATTCTTTAATTTACAGTTTCATGCTGTGATACTTAATTTACTTGGTGTGTGTCGAAGACACTTGCTGAGCTCTGCATGCACAAAAAATACACCTCATTTTACTAGAGGTCCTAGTTGCATGCAACTGTTGGTTGGGGTTTTTTCCCAGATAGCATCGTATCCTGGGTTAAGATTTCTCTGAATGCATACGACTTCTTTTTATCAGTAAATCTCCCTCATTCTAAGGGAAATGAAACCATCGTATAAAAGCAGAGCTGTTCCCCAACCTGTTACAAAATTCTCCATTTTTTGACACCTGGGATTGCCTTTCCACACCCATTTTTCAGTATAAAACCTCGTATTTCCATGCAAGTGACAAAATACTTCAAGAAAGGGGGGAAAAAAAAAAGGCAAGCAAGCTGTCCAGGCCTTAGGTTGAATCCTGTGAATCCTTTAACGTATTTGTCTGGGGAGCTGGCAGAGGTGTGGGTCTTCTGCAAAGGCAGGTTGCTCTTGGGTTTAGTCTAGTAAAAAAACTTGGAAGGAAGAAGTATTATTGTGACCATGTGTTTTGTAAAATGTAAAAGTGTAAAATCTCTGTTTGCATGTTGGTTATTTGCAGGTGACTTCAAGTGCCCCGTCAAAGAGGAGATAGCGATTACCAGTGGAGAATGGGAAGTGCTTGGCAGACATGGATCCAATGTAAGTCTCTGCTCTTGCTGCATGGATATCCTGCAAGCAACACACACTGCAGGGAGATGGTCTGTGGGGCCTCACGAATCAGTACATGTCGTATTAGTGAGGCTCTGCTTGCTGAGAAGAGTGGACCTTGCCACTCCCTGGTATTGAGTTTGAGCATATGTATCACGTGGGTTTTTTTGGTCTACAGCGTGCTTTCATCCGTCCCCACCTCTGATACGCTATTCTGGACCAGAGGCTGTGATTTTGGCGGTGTGGGAAAGCAACACAGGCAACATTAGTTGGCTTTCTTTTCTTGCATGTTCCTGTTTGGATCCTTGTCAACAAGGAGTTTTCCCCACTAAGCTCAAGGCTTAAAGAGGAGGAGAAGGGAGCAAAAATGCTGCGAGGCAGCAGTGAGGAAATTCCACATGTTCTATGAGCAGCAAGATGTCCTGATGGTGTCCAACTGCTGTCCTGGAATCAAGAGATACTCTTTGGAGCGATCAGCATAAATCTATTAGCCCTGTCTCTTTTTAGCCAGAATACAATGTTCGTGTTCTATGTAGCCTGTGAGCTTGCACAAGGAGGGAGGGAATGCTCCCCAAACTGCTGCCCCTCTAGCTCTAAGCTGGATGAATTCTTTGATCATTTGAATCAAACAGCAGTTCAAGGAGAACTGTTTGACTGCTTTGGACTTTGTAAAGGTCTTTTGAAATCCTTCCTAAATGGTAATTAGAAGTGGGGTTAGGGAATGAGGTGTGCGAGTTGCCCTGCATTTGCATCTGTTCTGCTGTCTGCTCAGAAAGAAGGGACAACTGAGGAATATTTAACATGGCAGTGGTTTACAGTCAGCTGCTGCCTTGATTTCCTTCTGGGGTGGTTTATATCATATGTGATTTGGGAAAGGGTCTGAAGAGTGGGCAGGTGACAAAGAATGGGGGACAGAGTTATTTGGGGGACAGGATGCCATCCAGAGGGACCTGGACAAGCTCGAGAAGCGGGCCCATGTGAACCTCATGAGGTTCAACAAGGCCAAGTGCAAGCTCTGGCATCTGGGTTGGGGCAACCCCCAGTATCAGTACAGGCTGGGGAATGAAGGAATTGAGAGCAGCCCTGCTGAGAAGAACTTGGGGGTACTGGTGGGTGAAAAGCTGAACATGAGCTGACAATGTGTGCTCACGGCCCAGAAGGCCAACCATACGCTGGGCTGCATCAAAAGAAGCGTGGCCAGCAGGCTGAGGGAGGTGACTCTGCCCCTCTGCTCCGCTCTGGTGAGACCCCCCCCGAGCCCTGCGTCCAGCTCTGGAGCCCTGAGCACAGGAAGGACATGGACCTGTAGGAGCGGGTCCAGAGGAGGGCCACAAAAATGATCAGAGGGCTGGAACACCTCTCCTATGAAAAAAGGCTGAGAGAGTTGGGGTTGTTCAGCCTGGAGAAGAGAAGGCACCAGGGAGACCTCATTGCAGCCTTTCAGTACTTAAAGGGGGCTTATAAGAAAGATGGGGACAGTCATTTTAGCAGGGCCTGTTGTGATAGGACAGGGGGTCATGGTTCTAAACTAAAAGAGGGTAGATTTAGACTAGGTATAAGGAAGAAATTTTTTACGATGAGGGTGGTGAAACGCTGGCACAGCTTGCCCAGAGAGGTGGTAGATGCCCCATCCCTGGAAACATTCAAGGTCAGGTTGGATGAGGCTCTGAGTAATGTGACCTAGTTGAAGAGATCCCTGCTCACTGCAGGGAGGTTGGACTAGGTGACCTTTAAAGGTCCCTTCCAACCCAAACTGTTCTATGATTCTGTGACTCTATTTAGCATAGCAAACAGTAGGGAAAACTGGGAAGAGTAAAGGACCTGCATGAGAGAGCTCAGCAACAAGGTGTGAAGTGCAAATCGTAACTGCCAGAGTTGTGGACAGTAAGAACAGCCATTTGGCTTATTCCTTGCAGATTGTTGGGCTATAACTCAGCTTTATGGAAGTGGAGCGGGGCAGGGGGGAGACCTGGAGGCGGTAGAACCGGGTATTGTTTTGGCAAGAAACAATATTGAGGGATATGTTGTTTTGGTTTTGACAGATCTATGTTGATGAAGCCAAAAAACTGGTGTACTTTCAAGGCACAAAAGACTCGCCTTTAGAGCATCACTTGTACGTTGTTAACTACGAGAATCCCGGAGAAGTAAAGCGACTGACAGAACGTGGTTACTCTCACGCCTGCTGTGTCAGCCAGGTACCTCTTTGCCTGTGAGGCCCTGCGTAGGCAGGTCTGGCTGGGTGTACTGTGGCTTATCGCCAGTCTTGTCCTTCATCAATCAGCAGACAAGGCTGTATTTGAATATAACAAAAGTAGATTTTACACCGTGTTGTGCATACTGTACAGTGTATGTTGTACAGTGAGTGCATAAACCCACCCTGGAAACCACATTTGACCTCCCAGTTCAGTTGCTATTCAGCTCACCTCAGGCAAAAGGAGCCAGGATGAATTGTTTGAAACTGTTTGAGCCTGGCTCTTTTTGCCTGAAGCAGGTTACGGAGCAATCACCAGAGGAGATGAGCCTGTGGCAGGGTTGTGTGGGGTTCCAGGCATCTGGGCCAGTAGCCCGTTCAGCTGGGAATGCTTTACCCAGAAGAGGGTGTGTGACAAGGTCCTCATGCCACCATTGGTTTTGCAGGTGTATTTTTGGCTTTGGAGTGTTAATATCTCAGTCTTGCAAAGGACTGTAGCTTCTCAGAGTCTATCTGCTGTTATCAAAAGAGCCCAGACTTCCTGGTTTAATTTGGTCCATAAACATCTTCTGAAAGATCTAAATGCAGAAAAAAGTGATCACTTTTGCTTGTGCCTCTGCACTCTGAGGGGTTCAAGATGATGTTCTTTTTCTCCCTAGGATTGTGACATGTTCATCAGCAAGTACAGTAATCAGAAGAACCCGCACTGTGTGTCACTTTACCGGCTGACAGGACCTGAAGATGATGCAGCTCATAGGACAAAGGAATTCTGGGCTACCATTTTAGATTCAGCAGGTAATGGCATGGATGAGGAACTGGAAAAGGACATCCAGGATCACAGAATGAAAGATGTCCCAGAATATGTTTGCTTGAGATTTGCTGTTGTGGGTGACTAGACTTGCCTCCGAAACTCAGGCTTGTGTGAGGAGTTCTTGGAAGTACCTGAGTGACATTTTCAGCTCAGCAACGAATGGGTATAAACTGGCCAGGAAGGAATTTAGAGTGGAAATTACTAGGTTTCTGCTGCCAGAGCCAGGAGAAACTGTAGAAAGCCAATTTTAGCATCGGGGAGGGGTTTAAGTGTGGTTACGTACTCTGTGCTATATGCCTGCTAATGAGCGTGCTTCTGGGCCTCTGGGGAGGGGCATATGCTCCTTGAATATTTGTATGCTACTTCCCACTCGTGTCTTTGTGAGACAGCTCTTGGGCTTTTATTTTTCCATTTTGTTTCCATTCCCTTTCATCTCTCCTTCCCCAAGGCATACTCTATATCTATGCTTTCCGTGTACTAATGCAGTGAGTCCTAAGTGGGGTTAGGAAGGGATTGGATACCTGAAATGGCTGTGTCAGGGGAGAAGAGTTACTACTGTTCAGAGGAGAGCAGGGATGGGAATGTGAGGTAGGACTGAGAAAGCTCCCCTAGGGCTGGGGCATTCCCAGTCTCTGCCTGGTCCCAGCCACATCCACTGGAAAACATGGGAAGGCTCCGTGGGGGTTGCAGCGAGATTGGTGATGCGGCAGGGCTGGAGTGGAGCTGTGTTATTTATCCATTCCCTGTTAAACCAGACTCTCTGTTCCCTCCTGTGGCAGGCCCTCTTCCTGATTACATTCCCCCAGAAGTGTTCTCCTTCGAGAGCTCCACGGGATTTACGCTCTATGGGATGATGTACAAACCTCACAATCTGCAACCTGGAAAGAAGTACCCAACTGTGCTCTTCATCTATGGAGGGCCTCAGGTGAGTGCGGCGTGTTGGTGGGCAGTGGGACGGGCTGGCCTGGATCACTCCTCTGCTCTCCTGTATGAACGGTTCCTGTTCTGTGCTGAGGATAGTGTGCAGCGTTTAGCGTGCAGCATTTTGCCTGTTTGGTGACTAGCTGCTTGGCCGAAGGTGCTGTAAGTAATCATGATTTCCAGGTCATAAGATCAAGGCACTGCCACTTGCCTGAGAACAGGTATGGAGGAGCAGAGCTGGAACTGGGAGAAGGGGGAGTGCAGATAGTCCCTGTTCCCTGTTCTATCTCCCCCTTCTCCGCAGGGGCCCCTGTTCTTTGTTTCCACTTCCCCTATGTGTGTGTGAGAGGAGCTCTCTGTTAGCACTGACCACTACCAGTGCGTGCCTAGGAGAGCTTGCTCCCCAGTCCTCCTTTTCCCACTGATGAACAGGAGAAGGTGAGCCCCTTAGCCCTGCTTTGGTTCCCCCAACTCTCCTGTGCCCTGCTATGGTCCAAGGCAGCTGGAGTGAGACTTGGTGAAGGGAAGGATTATCTCCTGGAAAAGGACAGAGAGAGTGGAGAGCAGAGCTGCGGGCTCGGGGTTGGGTTGTGCTGTCGGCCGTTGCCCCTCTTGCTCTATGCCCATTGGTGGAGCTCGGTCAGCTCTTCATATCTGTGGCACAGAATGGCCTGTTACTGGGGCAGAGAGTTTATTTCATAGCAGGCCACAAGCAGGGAGAGGGAATCCTGCAGCAGGGAATAGGGATCTTGAAAACTTTACATCATAAAAATGTATAAAACATTTAAAGGAAGGTAAATAAAAATAAAATCTGAAACTGGATGACGTCTGGATTCCATTACATATCTGGTTGTGTCATTGCTCTTCTTCTATTCCAGGTACAGCTAGTGAACAATCGGTTTAAAGGAATCAAGTATTTCCGTTTGAACACTTTGGCCTCTTTAGGCTATGTTGTTGTTGTCATCGACAACAGGGGATCCTGCCACCGAGGGCTGAAGTTTGAAGGAGCCTTTAAATACAAAATGGTAAGTGGAGCTCTGAGTCTGGCTCTTCGTTTTCAACCAGAGACAGGTTTGAGTTCCAGTGTTATCTGAGCTGAAGCACCGATTTGGCACAGATGCCCAGCATTGCCTGTGTGACGCTGCCTCGGTTTGGGGAGGGGAACTGCGTATAGTTGAGCAGTGTGGATTTGAGGGAGGACAGACACCATGTCAGGGTTTGAGGTTGCGAACGAAGCCCAGCGTGGCAGGCATAACGCAAGGTGGCTCATAAATGGGTCTCTGACTCCCACCGGATATGCTTTGCTGCTCACGTGAAGCAGGATAGTTTCATTCACAGTGTGGGTTACTATTTAGGGCAATTCCTGTGTCAGGCTGGAGGGCATGAGTGCATTTGGCCGTGTGTGCAGGCAGGGAGGGCCTGTGCTGGGCTCTGCTGGCCTTGCAGCATAGCTCTCTGTGTGTCGGGAACGGCGTTTTCATGCGCAGAGCTAGAACGCAGCCTTGCTTTTGTAACAGCAAAAAAGCAAAAACACTGAAAAATCTTACTTGTTCCCAAGCCAGGAGACAAATGAAGAAAAGGATAGTTAAGAGGTGGTTTAGCATGTATTTATTGTCTTCTGGGGGAAAGGGGTCATCTTTCTGTAACATGGCTAGCACAGTGGAGTGCTGGTGTGTGGCTGGGTGCTGCACAAACAGAAGCAGCAAAGGTCGAAGGTGGTTACCTTTGGAAATGCTGAGAATGTAACTTTTGTCTGGAACTAACAAAACTTACCTTTTTCTCTCCCCTCCCAGGGACAAATAGAAATCGATGACCAGGTGGAAGGGCTGCAGTATTTAGCATCGCAGTATGACTTCATTGATTTGGATCGTGTTGGCATTCATGGCTGGTCCTATGGAGGCTACCTCTCTCTTATGGCTTTAATGCAGAGGTCAGATATCTTCAGGGTATGTTCATACATTGACTACTTATTCTGGTGGTGCAAACAGAATTTTTCCCTTAATAGTGTAACCTCCCGTGGGTGTTCACAGCACAAAGACTTTTGAGCTTGCTCTAGACAAGTGAGGACACAGTGCTCTGGCTGTTTTCTTCAAGACTCTTCTATTTGGGTGACTTCAGAGTGATGTTGCTTTTATAGCAAATGTTTCTTCCATGATATTTCTAATTAGGCTTCCAGGCTTTGGGTTTTTTTTTTTTTTGATACTTCACAGACAACAGATCTGAAAATCTGTTCACTCTTTAAGGCTAGTGCCTGCTAACAAGCCACAGTACCTTTTAAAACCAGCAATCACCAGGTATTGCAAGAGCAGTTATAAGTTACTGTGTGACCTTGGGTTGTCTCCTCCGTTCTCTCCACTTGTGTTTCTGTGTGAAGCATGAGGACGAGATGCTCTTCCTCTGTAAGCCTGTTGTCACTGTTAGGCTCTGAGAGGTGTCTGGGACTGGTATTCATTGACTCGGGACTGGTATTCATTGAGTCTGTACTGGTAGAGCTAATGGACTCAGCTTTTCGGAGACAGTGATACCAGTACAGCCCCAATAATTAATACTAACAGAGATGCCTCAAATCAGAAAATTGCACTTGTGCAATTAAGTGCTGCACTTTCCTACCTCTCCACACAAATTTGCAGCTTTTCTCCCCAGGAGAGTGTGGTGTTCTTATTTGAGTATAGGCACCCCAAAGAGCGTGGCGTGACTGCACCGTGACTGCGCTTGCTTCCCCCAGCTCCAAATGAGCCAGACGTAATCCTGACCTGACGTGAAGGTGTGGTGTTGTCGATGAGGCTTCCTGCATTAATGCGAGCAGGGTGCTTTTGGGCAGAACATGCTTGCCATCCAGGAAGCCTGGCATGTTAAGAGGAGTGAGGGGCTGTTCAGGTAGGCCAATTTTACTGGAATATCTGAGAGTCTGTTCTCATGAGCTGGGGTGAAGAGGAACAACTGTTCACCCCGTTCAGCTGAGCACAGAAGGATATTCCCTCTCTGGAACTGTGTAAGAGAGCTTTAAACTGTTGGACTGTTGAGCTTGCAAGAACTTTGCTGGTATAGCTATAGCAATCTCAGGTCACCTATGCTGAAGGTACTTTATATAGCCTCAGCTGTTGCCCGCTTTGTGTCAGTGAACCAACTAAGATAAATGATCCTGCTG